TTGGCTTCTTATTATTTTATTTATTTGGTAAATTCTTGGCTTCTTATTATAAAAGAGTTTATTATAAAAAAAGTGTGAAGATTCCACTATTTGAAGACCCTAATTAAAATTTGATGTTTTATTTATTTGGTATAGTAGTAATAGTTCAAATTTTTCATCTTGTTGGTTAAAGTGGTTGTTTGGTTGACTCGTCAGCGATGAATCCACAACTATCAAGTTCTACCTCCATTCTCTTTTAAATGCAACATTGGACTTTTTACACTATTCACATGTTCTACTTTGACTCTATTTTATTTATTAATGTATTATAAATTAAATTTTTAAAAAAATATTGTTAAATTCCTATCACTTTTAATTTTCATAATCTAAATTTTTTAATTTTTTTACTAATACGGAATGGAAGATATAAATGGTGAAACTTGTGCATTGGCAAACGTGAAAAGTGTACCGTTACAATTAGTATGATAGTGATGTACACTTTGTCCGTCATCCATCAAATTCCTCTAGTATTACTATGACCTAAGACCTATATTCGAACTTTTGGCTTTAATATGACTTAAACATAGAGATGTGGGGTCCCTAAGGCGCACCTCGACTTGAACATTAGGATGAAAATCAACATTTATTTTCACAAAGTAGGATCAACTTCCAAATATTGAAAAAAAATGTATATATCATAAATTTAATACTAGTAAGAGGTTTTTTCAAAAATACTAATGAAATGAAACATATTTACCAAAATATGACTAATAATCGCTATACGCAGATGGTAAAGGTCTCATTTTCGGACATACTATGAGAGAAGTCAACTGGACAGCCCATTACTTAGCTAAGGCTAATTTGGGTAATTTTTCTACTTTTTTGGGCCCAAATGAACTTCCTCTTGAAGCTCGTAGGGCCTATTGCATGGATTTTTATGGTATTCCGTCTTTGCGTTTATAATTTTGCCGTTTGTATTTTTCCGGGTCTGGTTTTTCCTCCCGATAGCCGTTAATTATTTGTATTGTTGTTTTAGAGAGGTTTTGGTTTGGTCCCTCTCTCAGTTTGTTATCTTTGGAAATCTAATAAAAATATTTTGCTAAAAAAGACTAATAGTCGCTATAATTTTGTCTATTATGGGTAGTAAATTAAGTATAAAAGTTGAACATAAATTATTAGATCTTAGTTACTATTACAATCACCACACTTAATCACCACACTTAAGAAGGTCGCATTTTCGTAAACAACATTACTTTAGTTGTATATATTTAATTATTTCATTTAATATTTAATCTTAACTTTAAAAGAATGGGAAAATCACTATAGCCCCTGAGGTTATCACCACACTCAATTTTTTTTTAATAATCAATAAAAAAAAATTATGTAAACTTGGGTTACCTAGTTCAAAAATAAAACATCTCAAGTACATTTCACATTTGTGCCCATAAAATAAAGTTGGTAAATCCTAATATTTGAATTCATCCCATCAATGAGCATTGTCACGCCCTGGACCGCATCTAAGCGTGTGTACAATCGCCGTATTCTAGGAATCTTGTCCTCTGAGAAACAGAAGATGAAAACCCAGAATTTCCTCTGGCAAAGCTTTGATTATCCAACTGATCATTACTTGCCTGGGATGAAACTTGGCTGGAACCTAGTATCCATGCATGAGGTTTATGTCACAGCAAGGGAGCACGAAGAAGCACCAGCTTCAGGTGAGTACACGTTTCATGTGGACCTCACTGGATACCCACACGCTATAATCAAGAATAGGGGATCCGACCCCCTTACCCCACCTTAGGTGGGAGTCTTTGCGGCACTGGGGTGATGATGATGACCCTGGAGTGGTTTGCATTTTAGTGGAACACCATCCGCGTCAATTAGCACCATCCCACGCAGACTAGTTATGAATTTAAAAGAGGTGTATACATGGTATATTCAAGATTTGGATTTATTAAGATTTGTTCTCACTGGCAATGGTGTTCTAAAAGCCTGCGGATGGGATTCTCAGAAGAAAGAATGACAGAGTTTCTTAAGTGTGCCGTCAGATAGCTGTGACACATACGGTTTATGTGGTGCAAATAGTATCTGCAACATCGGTAACTATCCTACTTTTGGATGTCTTAATAAGTTCTTGGAAAATGCTTAGTACACAAAACCTTCCTAGTTGCCTGTGTACACAGACAATTCGTTAAAACAGGGACATGAGTTGATGCCAAATTGTCTGTGTACACAGACAATGTACACATTTTGTGTACATGTTGTGTACACCAAGCAGGGCCGGTCCTGTCCATTTTCGGGCTTATGGGCGAGATATTATCTTGGGCCTATGTTTAATACACAAAGTAATCTCTCAATATTGATCAACGAAACATGACAAACCACTTGTTTATTCTCTTCACCTAAATTACATTTATGTGGCTCAATTTCAATATTTGCGGCTTCTGCACTTATATCACTATTTCCAAGCATGTTATGGTTTTCATTCGCAAAAGAATTTAGCAGCGCTTCAACTTGAGAAGAATTTTCGGAAATCAATTTATTAACAAAACACAAAAATTTCCACCTTCTTACTTAAGGCTGCATTTTCTAATATTTGTCTGTTTTTCTCTTTTTCCCAATCAGATTCACCTATTTTATCAAGCACCTTCACAATAGTGAAACTAAATAAAGGAATTCCATTTCAAAACTGCACACTACCACACAAAAATGCATCATATAAATCATTAATCATAATTCATAAATCAAAAGAACATTTAGTGGATTTATTATTCATAGCTAGTAGATTGAGAATAATTTACTAGCCGTTGACGAATTGTTTGAAGCCTTGACAGAAGAACGTGTTCTAGTCGCCGGCTGCTGTTTGGGCTCCTCACCGTTGTCCGCTTTGTCTAATGGCTACTTGCATACTTGCATGCTTGCGGCGCTCTCTAATGTCTAGTCTTGTGTAGAGGTTCAAAACCTTATTAAACCTTAACCCTTTAGTTCCTTAGATAATTGAGTTTAATTGAAACTTGGAAACCACTGTCCAGCGAATTAATTAGGTTAGTGGGATGGGGTGGTTTATGAATTGGGAGTTTGGGAGACGCATGGGCTGTATAAAGAGTTAGAGACAATAAATATTTTGATAATTTTGTAATTAAAAGAATTATAAACCATAGAAATGTGAATAGACTTAATTACTCAAAGAGGCCGGCCACGTGCCTTTTAACATTTGTTTTAAAGATTTTAAATTTTCAACAAAATTAAACCTTAGGTCTAATTGCTTGGAGCTTAAATACAAAAAAGAAGTCTACTCATACTATATATATAAAGACAAAATTTTGGACCTATTTTCCCCTTCTATTTTTTCGGGCCTAGGGCGGTCGCCCCTGTTGCACCCCCTAGGACCGGCCCTGACACCAAGAATGGTCCTAAGTTCTTTCCTAATAATAATGCTGTTGAGAACGTGTCACGAGGGTGCCATAGGAAAACACCCCTGAATTGCCACAATGGATCATTAGACGGTTTTCTTAAGTGCTCTGCTGTCAAATTACCAGATTCAAAGCACTCTTGGTATAATAAAAGTTCTATAACCCTTAAAGAATGTAAAGAAACTTGTTTGAAGAATTGCTCTTGTGTGGCGTACTCGACTCTCAATATAAGCAACGGAGGAAGTGGATGTTTGTTCTGGTCAGGGGATTTGGTTGACTTTAGATGGTTAGCTAGGAGCAAGCAAGAAAATCTAATTAGTTAAAATTATTGTTTGGTAAATAGATGGTAGGTTTAGCTGGTTGACCCAAAAAACCGAAATTTCAAACGCTAGGGAGGGCAGCGTTTAGCCTTGGCGGTTCCGCTTTCTTCCCTTACTGCCCTCCGATTTCACGCCTCTTCGTATATACATCGCCTCCTTTCTCTTTAGACGTGCACCTGCAAATTTCGCCTCCTTCCTTTGCTTCTTCCGCCAGCACCTGCAAGTCGTACGTAGAAGTGTTCTTCGGCCATCTAGAAACGAGGAGGTATGTGAATCATATTAATTTTTGTATCCCTTTCAGTAATTGTTTCTATATTCTTTACACCAGTGCTCAGTGTGTTCATTCCATCTTTCTTCCTCTATTTGTTTCTATCTTGACGTTTAAGTTGGCGTTGAAATTCCTATGTCTAACTATAGATACAACCTAGAATTAAAGAAACAAAAACCCTTGTCATTTAATTTATCATGGCATAGGGACATCGGTGGTTTCTGATGAATCAATTGCCGGTTGATTGATTTCGGCCAACGAAGCTGCAACGCCGATGCTTCACCAGTCCTTCTCCCATCACTATTATTATGTACATATGCAACTTCCATGGTTTAAAAGTGCAAACACTGGCAGAGATGCCAACTTTTTTGGAAGCACTAAATTGAAAAGTGTAATCATAAGCATTAGGATACTACTTATACTTTACAAATTACTTGATAGGCTACATGAAACAACTCATTGATTACTCGTATTTTCTCATATAATTAGGTTGCTGGATATTTTTGGCAGAGTAGACTTGATGTAGTATAAAGGCAGAGTTCCTTTTAGCCGTTTTTTGTTTGATGGAACTGCATTTTAGAAAGAAAAAATGTAAAAAAGCCAGCATATATCAGTCTAAATTAATTTCTCTAAACAATGATAGTAGATAGGAACGTGGCAGAACATGCTCCTCCATCCTCCTCCTCTTTCTTTGTCCTTGCTTCCTCTCACTACTAGAAAAAATGCTATTTGCTGCTACCCAATTGCTGCGGTTCATAGTTAAAACGCAGCAAATAGGTAAAATTTATAGTTATTTGCTGCGGTTCTTCTACGACCGCAGCAAAAAGTTGAAAATTTTCGACCTTTTGATGCGGTCATATAAGAACCGCAGCAAATACCTAATATTTTCCGAAAATTTAATTTTTTTTGACTTTATCGCTGCGCCTATAGTGAAACCGCAACAAATACTTCAGATTTTGGCACTATTTGCTGCGGTCGTTACCCTAACAGCAACAAATAGTCTATTAAAATTTGGAAATTCGGATCTTTCCCTCTTCCCCCTACTCTCTCAAAGCACTTCATTAAACCTAGCTAACCCTTCCAAATCCCAGTCCCCCTCAGTGCCTCACAATCGTTCGAGCCGAAGTAGCGCCGCACGCTCGCAGACGGCTACGGAGAAGCTCGCCAATGGCACCGTAGCAGCTCGCCAATGGCACCGTAGCAGCTCGCCGATGGAATTGGAGCAGCTCACTGACGCACCGGAGCATCTCGCTGCTACTGCTACAGCAACTCGCCGACGCAGGTCTGTTCCCCACACCGCTGCCACAGTCCGATTGTGACGCCAACTTCATCTTCTCTACACTTATCGTTATCTTTTTATCAAGGTTAGTTATTATTAACTTAATCTTTTAATATTTTTGTTTAATCCATATTTGTATTTAACCCTAACCCAGCTTTGACTGTCTCAAATTCTAAACTACTCCCCATGAAAAGAACTATTCGAAGAAATAATAAATTTGACTGCAATGACTTAAAATTGATTTGTTATCATCTTAAGTCAAATTGATTTATTTGGTTACTTAATATGTTTGGATTACAGGGTGCTCTCATCATAAAACCTCCGAAGAAATCTCTGGCATTCTTTAGGTTGGCACTTATAGTACTAGAATTGGTGTTTGGTGTTTTTATCTTCTTTGTCTGTCTAAACCAGTTTAAGATTGCCAGAGAAGATAAAGTGTTGAATTTTGAAGTTGTAAATCACCTTGACGTTGATAGATCTCAAATTCCCTATTTACACTACCCAAAGCCAAAAACTTTCAGCAGGTATGAATTTGATTGATAAAATTTTGCTTGGTTTTCTAATGTATTTATTATCATTTATTAGCTTGTGTTGTTGGTGACTGCTAGGGATGAAGGTGCCTGTAATCCTGTTCGTTTCTTTGTCATTTTGACAAAGGACTGGGAGTGGATGGTTTGAGACATTATTGAATAGTCACAAGAATGTAAGTTGCAATGGTGAAATATACTCCATTAAAGAAAGGAGGGATAATTTTCTTCAATTGTGGAGACTCTTGATAGAGTTTACAATCAAGACTGGTTCACTACTGCATTAAAGAATCAATGTTCAGTTGTCTTGAAATGGATGCTTAATCAGGTAATTAATATACAAAGTATAGAAGAAATGTGTCTGTTGATAGCACCTGAGATTTATTCTGACCATTTTTTAATTAGGAAAAATGCTAGAAGACTGTCATGAATTACCACATGAGTTACAATCAACCATTTGAATTTTTCAGTATTTCCGAATTAATGAATTGGTAACTTGATTGACAGAGGAGTTACCCATGAGTATTCTTTAAGCGTTACTCATAAATTAGTTAGTCATTTTTATTAACATGTAAGTTCAATCTGAAAGGATTAACCTTATGGGAATAATAACACAAATGTAATTTATACTTTGGTGTTGTGGGATGACTTAATATGCTTTGCAAGTCATTTTTAGTAGTATCACTTGTTGGAGCCTAATAGTTGAGTCACATGAGCGGGTTTGTCTGAAGGCCTTATTTATGAATTTTGGTTGATGTATTTGTCCGGTGTGAGATACTGGGAGTCTGAGTCTCTGAGATAGTTTAATATTCTCATTACTAAGCTGCGTTTAGATCTATTCTAGAGTTAATTTGGTGTATTGTAGCTCTGTAATATTAATAAAATGAGAGCCCCTCCCCTATCTTTGTTTCCTACTAAAATTATTGGGATAGAAGGCATTTAAGTTGTGTGTCCTTTTTCATGACTGATACAGGGTGTGATGGAACACCAAAGAGAGATTGTTGACTACTTGAACAAAAAAGGCGTTTCTGTAATATTTCTTTTCAGAAGAAATCTACTCCGCCGAATGGTTTCATTGCTTGCAAATTCATACGATAGGCATGTAAAACTCTTTTCATATGGTTTCAGAAACTAGAGTGTAACCATTGACTCGGGTCATAGAGAAATCCCAAGACCTTGTTTGTTACCCACAAATTTAACTATTTTCGTATTAACACACTTAGGGTATGATTGACTTTCATATTATTAACCTATGGTTGCTTTTCTTTATAACTTCTGTTCAGAAAACTATGGACGTTCTGAAGTTCTTAAGACCTACCACTTGTGCATTTGAGTAGTCGGCAAGTAAAGATACCCAGTGGGCCGTTGTGGAAGAATGTCAAGAACTTGGATGATGTTTAAAAAGGACATTGAAAGGAACTGCTTATGAAGGATTCCTCCATGCTGACTATTAAGGGGGTGTGCTCAATTAGGAATCCGTAAGATTTTAATAGATTGTTAAAATTCAGCTGACCTCAACCTGGAATATGATGGAGTGCCAAAATCCGAGTGTCCACAAAATCTCCATGGATTAAATTTTTAACTCTTGGATTTCCATGGATTCTAAAGCTAAAATGAAAAGGAAAGAATACATCCCAAAATCTGACCTATTACCACCGGATTTCAATGGATTTACCGTCTACGTAGAGTACCAAAGCGAAGCACGCAGGAGGAGGTCTGACGAGCTGAGTTGATGCATCACCGCCACAAGAATCACGAGCGCAGCTCCACTGATTTGGCGAGAAGCTAAGAAAACGTGGTGCCGTGGTGGGTGTCACCTACTTGACTTCGTGGTGGTGGCGACAAGGCTGAGGACGTTTCCTTCTTCATAGAAGTGAAGAACAGGCAGAACCAAAAGAGGTGAGGTTTGGAATTGAATTGGTCGCTGAGGTTGGTCGCAAATGTCCTCTTCCTGTTGCATGTGGATCAACCGTAGATCTAGGAGGGAGCAGGGCACTTTATTAAAAAAAAATCACCCAAAATCTGGGTTTTATGGAGAAATTCTAATTCCATGGAATTCCACTGCAATATCACAGATTCTATAGAATTCCAATCAATTCCATTAAAGTCTTAGTCATTTAAAATCCTTTAGAATGCTAAATGAGGACACCCCTGTTAGTTTCATAGGTTGATTACTGGTCAAAGAAAGTGAATTCTTCAACCATTTTTCTCTCAAGTCTAACCAGAATACATTTTGCCATGTTCCTAGAGGCATAAAGATGGGTGTAAGGGAGCTAATCTGAGAGCAGCAGGAAGTCATAGTCAAGCTAGCTATTGTAATTAGTATAGTATCCTTGGCATTAACTTCAGTTTCGGTAACATTTTTTTGTTTTTCCAGTTTTTATATCTTTGAGCCAAGGTTGTGAAATTATGTGTATAACGTATAGTAACAGTCAGTGGCGTTTTTTTAATGTGTGCTAGTGTACCGATTGTGAACTGATTAACTGTTATGTGTGCTTAATGTCGATACTTAAAACAAGAAATGTTATTTACCATAGTATAAACAATTTTTAAAAAAAGAAATATTACTATGTATTTGCTGCGGTTGTGAACCGCAGCAATTAGGAAATTTCGAATTTTTAAAAAATGTTATTTGCTGTGGTTGTGAACCGCAGCAATAAGTATTTTTTTCATTTTTAAAATTTCTATTTGCTGCGGTTCCGAACCGCAGCAACTACCTTTCCCTAGTATTTGCTGCGCTGTCAATTGCTGCGGTTCAGAACCGCAAAAAATAGCCTAAAATGACCGCAGCAAATAGCATTTTTTCTAGTAGTGTCTTATTGGCAGAACATGCTCCTCCATCTTAATTGGATGGCTTATATGCCTCACATTTTATTGTTTGTTCACAAGAACAAGTTTATGCAATTTATTACTCACATTTTATTATCAATTTAATGTTTTTTCATTACCGTTTAACGGTTCAATATAAATTTCTTGCAAGTTTCTCCCCAGTTTAACTGTTTGTTTTTTTGTCTTTTTGAATGTCTGTTAGTTTAGTAATTCCTAAGTGACAGAACTTATGTTTAATAATTACATTCTGAACTTTTGGTTTCTAAATAGAGTTGGACTTATCTTAAAAGGCAAATATTGCAGCCATTTCTCCCCAAACTGATTGCTAAAATCCGTTAGTTGCACACAAATAGTTTGACAAAAATCCGTCAGTCCATATAATAATCTTCTTAATAATGTTTTGTGTATATTTCATTATGTATATGAGTTTTAGATGGCTCCCGAGCGAAAGAAAAGTGTAGGTGATACTCAAAGTGGTGAAAACGAAAGTTCTGCTGAAAATAAAGGAGGAAGAATTATTTGGTCAAAAAACTCACTTCACATCCTTTGTGATCTTTGTATCAAATATGTGGATAAGAGTAAAGGAAAAAATGGTGGAGTGACTTCTCAAAGGTTGTTATGGAAAAAGATTGAATCTGAATTTGAAAGAGAGACTAAGTTGCCATGGGATAAAACGAAATTAAAAAATAAAGTTGATTGGATGAGAAATAGGTGGACCTTATGGAAACAATTGAAGGCAAAAGATACTGGACTGGGATGGGATCATGTCACCGGAACTATTGATGCTTCTAGTGATTGGTGGGCCTTAAAGATTAAGGTTAGTATGATTTCTTAAAATTCCATACTAGAGTACTTATATTGTAAATAATTAATCTACTGTTCATTTTTTAATAGGAAAATCCTAAGTTTGAATCATTTCAAGATGAAGGGATTGAGCCCGAACTCGAGTATAAAATGGATCAATTTTTTTCATGTTCTGCACAAGGAAATCTTAAATACACTCCAGGAAATACTACGTCACAAGAAGATGTGCAAACTGATATGGATGATGTTTATATTCCTTCTCCACCTCCTCCTGCTTATCATGATACTACTAACATTGAGGATACGTATAATGTGGGAGGAAGTTCTGCAGGAAATGCATCGTGGGATGACTTATGGAATGAGTTTAGTCCTACACGTACATCTCCTACTACACTTAATCGTCAAAATAAACAAGTCCATAATGATGAGATAAGAATAATAGGTAAGAGGCACATTGAGGTTGAGTCATCACAAAGTAACAAAAGTGCTCGGCCAACTCACACAAAAAAGGAGGTATGACAACATTTCAAGAAATGTGTAGTGGTATGATGGAAGTAGTTTCAAAAAGGAGTGAATCATTCAATGAAGTCACTGGTTTGATGAAGGATATGATTAAAGCCAACTCAAATACTCACACGTCACAGTATGGTATTGGAGAAACTATGACAAAACTTATCTGTTTGGATGGTCTCTCTACTACTTCGCCCGAGTTTTTCTTTGCTTGCACAATGTTTGAAGATCCACAGCGCCGAACGATTTTCTTTTCTTTACCAGATGAAAATAGTAGGGTTGAGTACATTAGGTTTATGCACAAGAAGTCGGGGAACTAAACTTCTTATATTTCTGTAACTTTAAATTTCTTTTTCGGAAAGAGTCAACTTTTGTTATGAATTCTTATTTCTTTTTCTGAAAGAGACAACTTTTGTTATGAATTATTATTTTGCTATGCTATTATTATTATTATTATTATTATTATTATTATTATTACCATCATCATTATTATTTTTATTATTACTTTCATTACAATCAGTGTATTCATCATCATATTGGTACAAGTTTATAGTAATTTTGTAATTCTCTATGTGTAGGTATGGATACGAATGCTATGGAAATTGCACAACTTCTCTTATGTTTAGAGTATTTGAAAGAAGAAGATGAATTTTTAGATATGATTACTTGTGTAGCAAGCTGCATGGGTTCTTATTTTGTGAAGCATCTCTACAAAGAACCTTGCATGAGTTCTTATTTAACAGGAGAGAAGTGGATGGATGAGTTATTGACTGGTCATGATAAGAGGTGTTTTAACGCCTTTAGAATGCACCAAAAAACATTTCGTGAATTATGCTTTGATTTAGAAAATAGATATGGTTTGAGATCATCATATAAGATGTCTGTTTTGGAAAAGGTTGGTCTATTTATGTACTCAGTAAGGGAGCTTCTAATAGAGATGCTCAAGAGCGTTTTCAACATTCTGGTGAAACAGTCAGTAGAATTTTTAAGAAAGTTTTGAATGCAATGGATGGATTTTCAAGGGATTTACTTGTACCTAAAGATCCAGATTTCAAGGACATTCCACTAGATTTCAAGGACATTCCACTACAAATTGCTACTGATGATAGATATATGCCTCATTTTGAGGTAAGTGAGTATAATATTTAGTACATGTCATTTTTTAAATTGATCGAGTGTTTGCAAATTTATAATTCATTTGAATTGGTATTTATGAAATTAGAATTGCATCGGAGCTATTGATGGTACACATATTGCAATAACAGTTCCCGAAGAGGACCAATTGCGTTACAGGGGGAGGAAAGGGATTCCAACTACAAATGTGTTAGTGGTGTGTGACTTTGATCTGCTATTCACTTATGTTTTAACAGATTGGGAGGGATCAGCCCACGACTCTCGCATTTTTCTAGACGCAATCAATAACCCAACTCTCAATTTTCCGAAACCACCTAGAGGTACTTCTATTCTTTTGTAACAAAAAAGAGCTTCTATATATGCAAATTTGACATGTATTGTGTATAATTGTAGGCAAATATTACTTGGTTGACAAAGGTTATCCAGAAAGAGATGGATATTTGACTCCTTACCCCAAGATAAGGTACCATCAATCTGAATTTGGTGGTGCACATCCTAGAGGAGCTCAAGAGGTATTTAATAGACCACATTCATCCTTAAGAAGTTGTATTGAAAGAGCCTTTGGTGTTCTTAAGGCTCGATGGAAGATATTGCAAAAAATGCCAAGATACTCATTAATGGATCAAAATAAGATAATTTGTTCGTGCTTCGCATTGCATAACTACATTAGAAGGAGCTCAATTGGCGACCCGGGTTTTAGATTTCTTGATGAGGATCCTGAATTCATACCTCCGGATGTATTTGAAGATGTTGAAAGAAACGCTACACAAAATGACATGAATAATAGAACTCAAGAGATGAGAGTTATACGTAGTAGTATCACATCAAGTTTGATGCAAGCTAAACGCACTCGCAATTGATTTTGTGGGTATTTATTTTATTTTTAGTTAACATAAGTACGTTATGGTATTTTTTGTGAGATACACTTTGGCACTTGTTCATGTTTATTGGCATGCATGTTTTTTGGAATGTAAATTCACATTATTCAAATTAATACAGAATGTTTATTTTATTTTATTTTTATTTTTCATGAAGTTTTATTCACCAATTTCTAAAATTTCTAAATAATGAATGATTATACTTCGTAAATAAATGTAAGTAATATTATATTTATAAGCAATAGCTAAAAAATAATAATGTCCTTATACGTCTTTTTACACACAAACAGCTATTCTTAAACAGCTAATTTACCAAACATTTCCTGACAACAAGCTAACATAATAAGCCAACTATAACAGCTGACACAACCAGCTATTATCAATCAGCCGTTGTAACCAGCTAACAGCTAACAGCTAACCGCCGATTGCCAAACAAGGCCATAAAGGATGTTCCATCAGAGTGGCTTCGTTGGATGTTCCAGCAGGTAGGTAGAGCTCATAACCACCTTTTCACTTATGTCATGTTTGGTATGCGTAAAGGAAACATATAGGAGGAATGGAATTTGAATTCTATGTGCAAAGAATCAAGAGGGTTTTGAACTCCACATTGGCAGGTCAATTACCAGACTTTATTCTGCTCTGTGGTAAGCTTTGGAATAAGGAAAAACAGTGTAAAGAGTTATATGAAGAAATATAATACCAATGGGGTAATATTGGCCATTGTATCCAACTTTCCTTCCTATCAATTTAGTGCCAAGGGGGGCTTGGAATTGTTTTTTTGGCCTGGGAGAGAATAAATATTCAGCCTAAAAGATTTTCGTCTGCACCAAACTTTGCGATTTTCTCGACTGGAATTAACAGGCTAATGAAAAGTTATCCCCTTGAATGAAGTAGGTGTTTTTTTTTTTTTGAGAAAAAAAAAACAGCAATAAAATGAGAAATAGAACAAGAAAGGCCAACCCGAGGTACAATATGACTTTCCTACTACAGGGCAAACAACAATTTCAATGCATTCAGGCTCAAAAAGGAAGAAAGTAGAGATAATTGCACTTTGTTTATTGTCATTGCTGGCTTTAGTGTTTCTGGTCTGCTGCTTCTCCTTGTGGTATTTTTGCAAAAGGAGAATTGCTAAAAGAAAGAATTTGAGCTGCCATTATTTGATTTTTCTACGATAGCACGAGCTACAAATAACTTTTTGTTACGGGCGTGGTTGGGAGAGAAAAAAGAAGAACGATAAGTATGATAGTTGGAAATACAATTCAGCTTCCCGCCCTAGGCAAGGAAGTGTTCGTCGGTTCCACCGAGCGCACAAGAAGAATTATTCTCCATAAGATTGATGATTTTATTCATTAATAAAAATGTTCTAAAAGGCGCTAGACGCTAGTCGGGCGCCAGCCCAACGCCTAGCGCCTAGGCGCCTAGGCGGGGACTAGTCGGAAACATAGAAATTGCATTTTTATCTATATTTTGCATAAATATGATAAGTAATATTGTATTTTTGTGTGTATAAAATACATATATACAAATACATTAACAAACATGAGTGATAGAATTATCACATTTAATCATATGTGGTATATGATAACTAATCACTTAACTTCATTATGTTATAAATATAAATAATGATAAAATTTAGGTATATATAAAAACTATATAGTTTTATATTAATTTACAACTTCATTTCTTTATATCCATTGCTAAAGCTAAAATATGTATATCGCTTAGAAATTAAAATTAAAAAGTGAAGTAATGTTCAGCGAATCTAGACGGCCTATGCGGCCGATTAGGCGCTCTAGGCGGGCAACTAGGCGCCATAGACGGTTGACTAATTCACCTAAACGGCAAACCAAGTAGTCGGAGCGTCTAGACGAAAATCGGGGCGCCCGACCACCGCCTAACGCCTAGGCAGGGACTAATCGGGCGCCTAGAACGATTTCTAGAACAGAGATTAATATGGCACCTCTATTTGTTCTAAAAATCGCTCTAGGCACCCGACTAGTCCCCGCCTAGGTGCTAGGCGGTGGTCGGGCATCCCGATATTAGTCTAGGCGCTCCGATTAATTGATTCGGCACCTAGGTAAATTAGTCGGCCGCCTAGGGCGCCTAGCTGCTCGCCCAGAGCGCTTAATGGGCCGCCTAGGCATCTAGATTCATCGAACAATTTTTTTTTTATTTTTTATTTTATTATCCTAAAAGATATATATGCATTTAATTTTGACAATCCATGTGAAGAAAGCTATTAGTGAGTAAGTGAGTAGATATAATATATTATTAAATGTGATAACTCTATTGATGTGAGTTTTCTCGCACTTAAAAAGGTTGTAATATAGTGGTGTAAGTACGAGTATCGTCTCCACAGGGACGAACAAAAGGGAATCAAGAATTAATTAAATTCAGCGATTAAAAAGAAAAAAAATAAATGTGTCGTGCGAGATAAATGGTTGATTTGGGAAATTAAACTAATGCCAATGAACAATTAAAATAAAAGATTGGTTTCTTTCTAATTAACGACGAAGGGAACAAGGATTGATTCCGGGATAATCAGATTTCTGGCAGATCAGGCCTGATTACATGAATTTAATTTAATTGAGCCTAGCTAATCATTACTAAGTTCTTACCGCTCTCGCGGCGTAGAGTACAATAATATAGGGGACCAGACTGATCTCTCATGCGACAAGATCCTAAATTATTGCCAAGACGAGCGAGCTTACGGCCCCTTAATCGCTACTAATCTCTTAGCGAACGATTAAGTGTTTGTGAATGTGTATTAGAATAAATTATATCTCTCTTAACTTATTCTACAAGCAATTGTAATTCTAGCGCGCGATCTAGGTTGCAAAAGATATCAATTAAATTATTCAAACACAAATTAAACGGCATTCATGCAATTAAACTAACAAGAATCTAGCCATACATCATGATTAACCCCTTCATCAACCCCAAATCCCTTATTAAACTACTCACAATTCATAATTGAAGAATCAACAGAATTGGGATGAATAGAATAAATTGTCATTAATTAAAAAGACGAACTTACAAATAATCCCAGAGTTCTTAAAGAAAATAGCGTAAAAACGGTGTTAAATTCGTCCCTAGGCCTCTCCGTAATGTTCGTAACCCTCAAGTCATCTAAAAGGTGTATTTGAGAATACTTTCTCAAATAATGATCCTCTAGCCCCCAAGGTTAGCTTGAATGATCACAAAATCATTCATTTTGTCTCGGCCGGCAGTGTGAGAGTTAGCTTCTCGATGGAAACCCAGTTATGAATAATCAGTGGCAGTTCTCTTGTGAACAGTGCTAGGAACTCAAGGACCAGACGTGTACATAGATTGTTCTTGTGCACGATGGTGTACAAACGATGGTGATAACATGAGGTATTGTTAGAGCGACTCAGACTTGCATCTCTCAAGAGTTTGGGATAAGTCCTAGAAACCCCAAAATTAATCCGATGAACTCGGTAACTAGGGGTGGAAATAGGCCAGCCGGCCTGTCAGGGGCCTGTGGCCTGGCCTGTTAAAGGCCTGGCCTGGCCTGACCTCTTTAGTAATCAAGCTAGGCTTGGGCTTTTCTAAAAGCCCGTTTATTTAAATAGGCCAGGCCTAGCCCAACTCTAAAGCCTTTTTACCTTAACAGGCCGGCCTATTTATGTGTGTGTATGTATTTAGTTATATTTATATTTATTTGTATTATTTATATTTATATTGGTATACTCAACTATATCCAAGTCAGTATAATAGTATTTTTATGGAGTGTGTATTATAAATTAGAATAGAGTGCTTTTTTAAACATATATAAAGTGTGTTAATAGTTTATTAAGGTAATTGAAATTCAAAGTTTATTAAGAATCAAAGTACATAGAAATTTATAAACTACATAATAATACTTCATCTATTGTTTTATATAGTAAAGCTGAGTATTGAAATAGTGATGTGTCACTATATGATTGGGTAACAAATATAATAATTAACATTTAATTAATCTAACAATTCACTAGAAAAACGAGTATACTCATTATTTAATAGCTGTGAAATCTTCTCCAAGCAATATGAGATTCAATTAATTAATAGTTCTAGATAAATACTAACCATAATCCGTTAGGATTAAAACTTATTAATTGTAGGAACTCTTCTCCATAACAATATATCATTTAATTATTAGTTGATAGTTCTAGAAATACTACAAATTACATACCTTCTAGATGAGTATATAACAATACTATGGATAATTATGGGACTCGATTAAACAATTTGAGAAGCTATAATGTTTTGTAAGAATATAAATTAATATATCGTTTTAAGCGATTTTGTGGGATCTTGATTCTTGAGTATCATATGTGCGTTCTTTCAGGTTTACTCCTCCTTATTAAAACATTTTATTTAATTTATGGGGCTGAAATTTCGGTGATACTCCATAGTTCATCTAAAGTTATACTTGGATTTGATCTCTATTTGTCAGGTTGTGATTATAGTCCAACTTACATCCTCCCATCGTGCTGTCTGGTCGGTGTTGGGGGCCCTCAGGGTTGGGGTGTCATCCTTTTTTGATTTCTAAAGTTAAAGACACACTGAGTATTTAGAAGACTAACTGGACCAAATAAGTAGGACTATTCTTTTTCCTTAAAAAAAAATTAGGACTATGCACCTAATTAGTATGTGCAGAATTTTAGGAAATCGTGCGTAAATCCAAGTGAAATTATATTTATACTCCCGAATAGAACTTGACGTTTACTTTTGGCACGATATTTTAGAAGTTCACTTAATGGAAGAACAAATGTCTTGCATGCCCTTTGACTTTTGGTGGGAATTAATGCTATCCACTCAAATGTAAAAAGTGGGTGGGTAGTGAAGGGTAATTAGGACATTTAATATAAAAAGAGTTGTCTAAAAGGAAACATAAGGAGTAAATGAGACATTCCAAAAGGGAAAGGGTAAAGATTTAAATGAGACATATAGTATTTAATTTCTAAAGTTAATGAATGTTAGTGGACGTTAAATTAAAAAAAAAAGTTAATGAACGTTTTAGAAGAACCAATAATTACGTACGCCTCATCTCTTATACTCTACTTGGGATAGGAGTGCATTATCGTAATTTTAATTGTAAATCACGACTTCAGTTAATTGAGCATCAATGTATTTGTATTGATCGAGCATCAGACCTAATC